AACGCGAGCTACAACTAATCGAAAATATTTATTTATTTATCTATACAAGGCTACTTACAAACTACCTACATAATTAAACTTAAAGTTCTATTTCTATTAATTATTATTACTACTTATGTATCTGTCTTAAAGGTATGCACAACTTAACTTAATATGTATATTAAATAAAGATAAAAAAAAAACACTTTAACGGTTTAAAACGCGATATATTAGTTAAACTTATTTGAAAATGATTTTTTAACTTTTAACGGGGAGACCCGTGACCACTGCTGCTGCAAAGCATCCGAAACGTCGGGCCGAAGTTAAAAATCATTTTCAAATAAGTTTAACTAATATATCGCGTTTTAAACCGTTAAAGTGTTTTATTTAAATGTGTACTACTCACGTAAACTATAGACAGTATCTAAAAAACAACTATTTAAAATTTAGGGATGGTATAATTTCTAAAACTTTTTCTTGAATATTTAAGTTGACGAATAAATCTAATCGATCCAATTTAAAAACCCAATTGTACAATTTACACATTGCCTGAATAGGTGAATTTAAAACATAGTTGTTTTTACAGTGTTTTATGTACAGAGGACTATAGGTAATAATTCTACGATTAAATGATGGGACGCAAATTCCGATATGTTGTAATATTTAAATAAAACACTTAACGGGTTAAAACGCGATATATTAGTTAAACTTTTTTGAAAATGATTGAGCCCCCCCGCCTGACCACGGCTGCTGCAAAGCATCCGAAACGTCGGGCCGAGGTTAAAAATCATTTTCAAATAAGTTTAACTAATATATCGCGTTTTAAACCGTTTAAGTGTTTTATTTAAATGTGTACTACTCGGCGTAAACTATAGACAGTATGTTGTGATATATATCGTATTTTCCTTTGAGTCTGCACACAGCCTATTCATTAATTTAACATTTAATGAGTATGACATTAAAAATCGAATTTTCTCATCGATCAAGTATTCACGAGTATTGTATGTATTTACAGACAAAAGAGTTAATTGGTTGAAATTCAGCCGATCGTAAATCAATCAATGTTTGAATTCACTTTAATTATAAATAAATTTGTTCCGTTGACTTGTGAAAAATGTCTACATTGTATGTGCTTTCGAACAACATTTTTCATTTGTGTGTAATTGAATTCGTGTAGTACAAATATTTTAATGTTAGAGGAAGACAGACGAGCACGAGGTTCACGTGATGGTAGGAAAAACGCCCCAGACATATAACATCTAAACAAGATGCGGTATCTACATAATTTGTGGATATTCGGAAGTCCATAGACTAGAGCCGAAATGACACTACTTGACGACTTTTTTATCTGTGAACGGTAGTTCGTGACATTTAATATCCAGATTACCAGACGAAGTCCGATAAATTCAGAACAGTTATAAATTGAGTTAAAATATGTTAGACCCGGTGGGGATCGAATCCGCGACCCGTTGATTACATTGGTTTAATGGTAATAATAATAATTAAACCAACAAGCCCGTCAGAAGCTTGTTAGAAATTTTATGGTATGGAGTACAGTCAGTATGACCAAAATTATCCATTTTTTGGACCGAACACTAACGTATTAGTATATAATATAAAATTATGAGTAGATTAAAAAGCCCGAGATTTCAGTCTATGGATTTCGCAATATCCACAGCGAAAACAGGCCCAAATAGGTAGGAGATATTATATGGCTGGGATTTACGTAGCGTTAAGTGATCTACATTAAGAGTGTTTGTGGTTCGATCTGTGGCAGCTTCTTTAAATGTAAATATACTTATGAATGCATAACCAGCAGAAACAAAAGACGATATAATGAACATAGCTTGGAGTAATGGAATATTCCATTAAGCAACCCGGTTTATTAATTTCCCGCGTATCCAGTGACAGTAATAAGTGTCAATATCGGTTAACATCGGAACAAAGCTGAAACATTTGTGGCCAAGTTCGGGGCGCCCCCGGGGAGGTCACGTCTACTCTACCACGCGATTATTTATTCAGTAACTAATACTACACTTGACATACATCACGTTTCCTATATGTAGCTCGTGCACGTGATGGCAGAGGCGCAAGGGGCCCGACAAAGGCTGTCATGTGGCAAGACAAAGACAATACGAAACGTGACATATTTGGGCATATTATAAAATGATGCATGGCTTTGGGTCGCGAGGAAATATAGATTACGTAAAAATGTCTTGAGGTGAAAAAAAAATTAACGGTTTAATACGCCAAAACTATTACCTAGTTTTAACCACGACCCTAAGAGTCGGATGCGTTTCGTGTGGGGGGGAGAGTCAAACTAACGTTTGTTGTCTAACTAACGCTTTAAACAGGCCAAAGTAATTTTTGTGCTTATTTATAATAGCAAATGCCTGATATAAAAATAACACTTATCGGTTTGTTCTTCAAAATTCTAGACAGAAACAATAGTACGAAACATGTAACAGCTTTGAACATAAGGTCAATCAGCTTTATATTAACGCATAAAAAATGCAAACATGCAAAAAAACATATTTTATTTCCATTTCTGTCCTAAATAGATGTGGACTATAACCATATTATACATGCCAAAATGTCTCCATAATCGTAATACCCTACATACAATCCAAATCCTAATAGAAAAAGATTATAACAAAGGCACACAACTAACGCTATCATTTTAATGTTAGACTACATATTTCAGATGGAGCTGTAGCCTCGCACATAAAAGCAACGAATGCATAGCCATTAGCGGACTACACAGCACAGAAGCGGTCGTTGAGCTAAAATTACTTCAGTCTTCCAAACATCAGTGCGAAAATTGTCGATACTCGGGCTCATTGTTTATACGCGTTATCGCAATTTGCAACGGGCGGCTATCGGCGTGTCCGACCATTGTGCTCGTGTCAAAGTCGACGGCCATTTTGTTTGCATGCTGCGGCGCGGCCATTTTGTTAACATGCTATGAGTTTTACGCGTTAGTAATGCGTTATTTCGATTTGTTTAGTAACGCTTATAACGATTATTATTTTTTTGGTTTAGCGTTTGAAAAAAGGCTGTAAGAATGGCTTTAGGGTTTAAGTCTCATCAGGTCTATAGTGTTTGTTAATTATTTCTTACTTTTAAAAAAATCTTTAGAAAATCACGATGTGTCCGACCGCTCTTGTCAAATTCTACGGCCATTTTGTTAAGACGCTATAGCTTTTACGCATTACGAGTTCGTTATTTCGATTTTGTAGTGTCTAGCGTTTCAAAGTATGGCTAACTACGACTGTTAGATTATAAATAGGTTTTTGAGTAAATTTAATTTTAAACCATTTCCCGATAAAAAACGTTTGGTCACGAAGCATCGTCCGCAAAGGTAAAGTAAAAATTTACGCTTCAGCTTGAATCTGTGAATTTCTTTCGTAAATATTATTTTGCAAACTAACCTAGCATTGATTTATACACTTTTTCTAATTTTAAAGTAATAAGAAGTTTAGAGTTTGTTAATACGTTTAATTTGGACTATTTAACGGAGAATGAAATTAAGAATGTTGGTACTTCTACATACGTATACGCTTTCATGAGAAACAAATCTCCAGGACCTATTTTACAGTTTATACTACAGTTTTTTTTTACATCAACTAATATTATGGTTATTGGTTGTTGAAAGTACACATAGTACTTAATATATATTCAGCGGCTGATCGTAACAATTCCCATGAATAGTATATTTACATCCGTTAAATGTTATGGATTATTTCATTTGATGTTCGCGTGAACAGATGGTTCCCAGTCATTTGTCACGAATGGCGGGGCTTGACCTAAAACTTTAGTTACAAATTTTACCCACGCAATATAGTACAATTTGATACCAGTATTGTCTGTAGTTTACGCGAGTAGTGCAAATTTTTTATGATATAGGAGTGGGGTTTATGATGAAAAGTGAAAAAACCTGATGCGCTGTCGATCTTTTCTTAGAAACACATTTATCATGAATGGCAAACCTTACACGGGTATTATTAAAAGGGTTACCAGATCAAAATTTGATTTATGTAAAATTGTTACCAGAATAAATAAATTTTTGTATACAGTTAAATATATTTTGCTAAGTGGTATGGAGCACCGACTCTTGTTTGTCATATTGGCAGTTCGATTTTGGGTCGTGCACCAAAAATATCTTGGAAGAGGTAGGACGGTATTGAAGACACTGGTATGTCCTAAATCTAAAAATTACGTGTCATCTCTCGCACATAGAAGTGTGGGAATCCGTGTCCCAGCTGTGGAACCTTTTAAAGGTATTCCTTTGCACGCATCCGCGTTAAATTTATTGACACCGAATGCTAGGTCATTGTGATACCAGTTTAACCTGAATGTTGAATGGCGTGTACAGAGAATTAAAACTAGGTTTTACGGGAATAAAACATTTTTTTCAATTCTATATTTTAATATGTATGTGTTAGAATACAATATAAAATACAACTCATAAAAATACATTACGTGGAACAGACAAAATGTAGTTATAATAGATTATTATTCATACGAAATAAATGACTTCACGTCATCGATAGCGTTAAGCGAATTCACAGGTTCGAATCCTATTTATAAATACAGGTAGTGAGTTAAAACGTGATCACTTAACATTATGTTAGCTTCATGGAGGATTCTAGCACTTTTAGTATTTAATTTAGACTACGTCTATGAAAAATTTCATTAAAACCGAATCAGCCATATTACACAATTCCTTAGTGTCAACTCTCAACTCTTTAATTTTTTTTATCATTTGTGAAAAGGTTATAAGATTAAGGTAGTCCACAGTTGACAAATAATAAGCCACCAGTTGTTCTTATCTTTATTGTTAACGTACCTTATGTGACTAAACGGAGATCGTAAGATCACGACGATTATTTCTAATCAACATAATCTAGGCTTTAGCTCTCGAGTCACCTAACTACAACCGACGACACAGTGTAATGTGAACAGTGCGTAGCATTATTGTGCCCTATACATCACATTATCCCTACTATTTTTATGTACGATCAATGTAAAAAGCCGTAGTGCTCCTTGTAGGGTATGAGGACCGGTTTCTCGATGGCCACAGTTTTGACAATCGGGACGGGAACAGTTTTGACAACTGGCACGTGTTTGATCACTGGGACCTCGTGGAGGACTGGCACTTCTTTGACGATCGGAACAGTCTGGACATGGTGATGGTGCACTGTATGCACGTCGTAGGGTACGTGGATCTTGATGCTGCAAAAATCATTTTGAGTTATACGTATACGACAAGCAGCGAGAAATATCTGTGGAGCCACCAAGAATTTGATTGATGCTTTTTCATGTTAATCTAGAATTATAGTTGTGTGTAGATTGTAAAAAGGTCAATCGTAAGGTAAGCAGTTCTATCTAGAGGCTAGAAGATATGCTGTCGACCCTTTTAGGCTTCTGACATTAGAAATCCATCCAATGAATGGATATTGCTACCAGGCATGACATATAAAGAAGATACATGTTAAAAAAAAGAAATATATTAGACTTGGTTAGAATTGAAACCACAGCCCATTTATTACTTTGATTCAATTTTACGTTTTTCCATTCGACAACTGATCGTTTATCTAGAACAATATGTAGGTATAAAACACGTAATTTACTGTCCTCTGTTATTTATGTATCATTACAAAGCTACAAGTGATCGAGATTAAATCAATTAACACCGAAATAAGACAAAAGACAAGTCTTGAAACCGTAGTCCAATATGAGAGATATTTGTTTCATTTAGAATAATTCATTATTGTAGGAAAATTATACTACTTATCTCGAAATATTCGAATGAAGAGTCTCTATGGACAAAATCCCTTTTTATGTTAAATCGAATTGTTTGTTTTACTTCGTTATTGTTGATAATACTTCGGTTTTGCCAACGCCATTATTTTTATATGAATACGTGAAATGTTTTTAAAAAAATGTTTGCCGCTTCTTTTTAACTTTTGCAAATTCATCACCACATTTGCCTTATATGAAAAAAATAGTTTATTCAAAAGTTCGTAAAAAAATATCTAAGTAGTCAAAACATAGACACGAACATGGTTTTAAAAAGAAAACATAATTTGATCAAATGCCCTCCGTAAAGAGGGAATAAGGAAATGGGGGAAATTTTTAGCAGATAATCTGGCCTTCTATTGGTGTCTGCACTAGAAAATAATAATCTATTTACTTACTGCGTCCTGTGGTAGTTAGGGTCTGGTACTGGGTTACCAAGACTGGAGTGGATGGCGACCAGAACGGTCAAAACTAACTGAAAGGAAAAATTAAATGAGTAATACTCTGAAAGAGACTTTCAAAGCATTAGTGAATTGTTTGAATTACTAATATATAAGTAATAATTTAGAACAATATCAGGTTCGGTAGTGTCCTCTTACTTTACAATTCTATATCATTTAATAGATAAATTAAAACACGTTAATGTTTATTTATCAAACGTGTTTATTCAATTCTTTACGTTAATCTTGAGATATCCTGGAAAGGGATTGGCAGGCAGCACTACTACACCCAAATCTCTTAATTATGTACTTATATTTTTAACAATATAAATAAACACTGTATGTAGTGTACGCGAGTGGTACTCTTCCACATTTAACTAAAACACTTTTACGGTTTAAAACGTCAGTATCGCCAAATACCAACTTCGGCGAAACAGATGGCGCTAGCGTAGTAGTTTGCACTTTGGCGTTAGTGACACCCTCTATCTTTAGTTTCCCCGTGACCACGGCTGCTGCAAAACATCCGAAACGTCGAGCCGTAGTTTAAAATCATTTTGTAATAAGTTTAACTAATACATACTGCGTTTGAACCGCTAAAGTGATTTATTTAAATATAAATAAGTAATACTCACAGCGATGTGACGGTACATTTCGACGAATGCTGTATTGCGTGTGAGACGAGGCGTTTGCGCGCATCACTTAATATTTACTTCGGTTGTGTAAGACAACGTCACGGTTCCTGCCCCTTGCATTATTGGGGTTGCGAACGCTCCAGAAGGCCATTCAAGGGTCAATCCATAATTTAATGTCTAGAAAGTTTCGCGGGACAGATAATTTAAATGTGTTCATTCATGTGCAAGAAGGTCGCTGTGTAATCTTAGAATTGATGTTCTGCGGCACGCGTGCAGCGTTCGTTCGCTGTATTGTATTGATTTTTTTTATGATAGAGAAGTACAGACAAGCATGGGGTTTACTTAATGGTAGGTGATAAACCCTAGCCATATAATCTTAACGAGATATAATTCTTGGCTTTTTATCTGTGTACGATGGTTCGTTCGACGGAAAAATTATAAATTGATTAGAAACACCTTGGACCGCGTAAGGATGAATCCACGTCCCGTTGATTAGCCGTACATGGCGAATCATGGTTCTTTTTATTACTGGCATTCTGATCTTCAGCGTATCCTTCCTCTACCGTTATGATTCACCGAAATATTTGTTCTAGAACTCTTATGCTACAAATACAATGCTTTATTACTATTTTAACGACCTTTTTGTGGCGAGTGTTATTTGTGTGTATCCTACCTACCTGCGGGTAGCTGTGCATTTTTGAAAATCAGTGTTAATCTAACTGGCGTTGCTTTACTACACTTTTAAGAACACGTTGTTATGTAAATAGTTCTCACTCCATCTTGTAATCAGATTCCACCATCTTTCCAGAAAAAAGCGTTGCACGCATACCACTCATCCAGATTTGGTATGCAGAAAAGCATTCATAATAAACCAGTAGATCGAGTTTATAAATTACGGTTAGACATTGACGATTCATCAGTTTCGTTTAATTAATTAGGAATTATGCAAAATGTGTGTCAGAATCGGGTTTGCGCGTTCTGTTAATGGTTTTGTGTTGCGTGACTGTTTTTTGATATTTATAGGTCTAAATATCGTCTAACTATTTTTCATTGGTTTATTTCTGTAGAATTAAAAACCGATTTTAGATTGAAACATTTACGATGCGGGCAGGACTTGAACCGGTATCGACAGCGTTACCTGCTTTGCTGTTACGGAGCGCTATGGATGCCCGTGTCGTCAAAGTTGTCTAATCTAAAATTGATTTTTAATTTATTTAGTGCCATCATGTGCGTAAATGTAAGTTTCAAATATTTTTCTTAACTAATAACTGAGACCTCTAGAGAGTGTTTATGGTCAGGAACTTCGGTTCGCTTATTAGGAAAACATCATTTGGATAAAACACTTTAACGGTTTAAAACGCGATGTATTAGTTAAACTTATTTGAAAATGATTTTTAACTTCGGTTCGACGTTTCGGATGCTTTGCAGCAGCCGTGTTCAGCACTTGTCGAAATGTACCGCTACACATCGCTGTGAGTATTATTTATTTATATTTAAATAAATCACTTTAACGGTTTAAAACGCGATATATATTAGTTAGACTTATTTTAACTACGGCCACGTGGTCACGGGGAGACTTCAAATGGAGGGTGCCACTGACCTCAAAGTACAAACTGCTACGCTAGCGCCATCTGTTTCGCCGAAGTTGTCTAAAACTATCGTTTTAAACCGTTAAAGTGTTTTATTTAAATGTGTACTACTCGGGTAAACTATATACAGTATTTAACATCATTTGGAATTGGTAAAGCCAGCAAGTCTGATCAAGGATCAAACGGACACAAAATTATGTCTGCCTTACGAAAAAAGAGATGTTATCTTATAACTAAGTTTTATATATATTTGCTAAGTGTTAAAACAAATTAATATAAATTATGAATTACATTCAATCACTACTATACTATACTATATAATATAATATACTATACTATACATGTATAGTATTGTCTCATTACGAATTAGTTTACTAGTTCATATTACATTAATATGGGTTAACTCGTTGTTTAATTGTCCGTATATGTTACTCGCTCAATCAATATTTCATTATAGCATCACGCTTCAGTGATATCTGTATATGTGTTTGTATTTATATTCTGTATTTTAACCTCGTTTGGATTATTCTCCAATTTTGGTAAAACAATACGATTTTTCATTAATCAATGTTTTGTTATCGGTTATGTTATTTTTCCAACTTTTACTTACGTCAACTTACAAGTGCTTGAATCAATAGGTCGAAAAAAATCGACAATAGCGGGTAGGACTCGGTAGCTCAATTGGTTAGACTTAGAGCAACAGCACGCAACGCTGTAGCTGCCGGTTCGAGTTCTGTCCGAATCGTATTTTTTTCAATTTATAATCGAATTTTAACTTTTAGTTACTTAAAGTTACCTATATGCATTGTGTAGACGTATATCTATATCTCTGTGTGACCAGACTTTTCTACCTTTTCCGATATAGATCGGACCAGAATTCGAACCTTGAGCTTCTCAATCTTACTGCATTGCGGTAACCGTTGAGTCAGAAAGACAATCAATTTTTGATTGAAAAATTACGATTTGTTAATATAAATTACATATTGTTATTTTTACATTTATCTATATGCATTTGGTTTATTATTTTTATAGATTTATAAATTATAATATTTTGATATTAATATTTAACATTCCAGCTAATAACTGATAATTATTAATTTATGATCACATCGTTTCAACGCTAAATGCGTGTTGTATAACTTCTGTAATCGCGTTATTTAACACGCTATAATTGGTGCGAATTATTATATTTCGTGAGTTGATAACTACTCATATGTCAAGAGTATAAGTGTAAGTATGCCTTTTTACTCACAAAACAAAATATTGAAGAATGATTTAATTAAATACAGTCTATAGTTAACGCGAGTACACGTTTAAATAAAACACTTTAACAGGTTTAAAACGCGATATATTAGTTAAACGTCGGGCCTTATTGGAAATGATTTTCATAACTTTAACTAATATATCGCGTTTTAAACCGTTAAATTTTTTTTTTTTTTTGGTGAAATTTTTGTTTTTTTTTTTTTTTTCCTTGTTTCCTTCACAAAAGGGGGAGATTTTTTTTTTTTTTTTTTTGTTCAGGCTAAAATCTCGTCAACGTTTCGGATATAATGTGTGGTAGGACTATCAAAATTGTGTCCTTACCACAGTTCAGATGAAAGCTTCTCACATTTCCGATTATACTAAACGATGAAGTATACTATAGATGGTATATAAGTGGAATCAAATTATTTAATTAAAGAGAATACTTTAAAATACATTAGTTTGTTAAAAACACGCTGGCAGACAAATAATAAAAACTAACGTTTGAAAGCACGCACAGGTTGGCACTATATAAATTAAAAATCGATTATAAATTAAATACATTGTCACTCGGGCAGGGTTTGAACCGGCATCCACAGCGTTCCGTGCTGTTGCTCCCAACAAATGAGCTACCGCGTTAGTATACTTTAATTATGAATGTTCATTTACACACGAGTTTTAAAAACTAACGTTCTAATTTTAAATAAATAACCCAGTGTTTATAATATTAATTTACCGTAGCATTTGGGTTGCGTAAAAGGATAAGACATTCACTTCGAGACAGGTACGTTCTCATCGGCTTACAGCTGTAATCCCTCCAGGTCACTCAATGTCATCTGCTCTCGTGTTTTTATTGCAAGCGCTGAATTTCGGCCCGACACATCTGTGTTATTCTTTATAGCCGTGAGCTCTTGTTGGGATTTCTGTTTCATATTTTATTTCGCTGTAAAACTTACTGGCGTAAATGTTTGTTTTTTTTTATTTTTTTAATTTTTTTCAAATATATGCATTCTTACGCTTAATGTTTTGATTTATTGGTGTGATTTATTAATTTGTACACACTGTACAATAACGATTTTAGCTGATATTTTTTTCCAATTATTTAAAGAAGAATAACATGGTTTTTGAGCGTCCTAAACAAAACACACTCAAATATTAATAATATTCCCCGTCTTTTCCTCATTTCCCCTCTGCTTTTCCGCTCCTATTGATTGCAGCCCGATATTTTCTAGCCTCCCACAATAAGCGTTCTATCTAACTAAAAAAAATCAATTCGATTCAGTATTTCCTGAGATTAGAACGTTTAAACAAACTAACCCTTCAATCTATAAATGCATATATATAATATTAAACAGGTTTTTGAAGTTAATCATTTCATTAATGATTATTAATTTATATGATTTGATCGCCGACATATATGAAAAAATAGTTGACCATGAACTACAAAGCAAGCAAACATTTAGGTATTTCTTAATATCTTACAAGTTTCAGCATTATTTTTACTCGTGCACAAATAAGCGATGCGCGCGCATCAACGGTTTTTTTTAGGCAAAGGTACAAAAACAGCCAGTATTACTAACGAAGTAAATTAATATTTTTGTGTTTTTGTTATAGATAAATGGTTGTAATTTATTGTTAAAATTAATTAAACTAAAGAATTAAATGTTTATTTGTTATATTTTACTTCCTAAAGTTAATTTTATTCATAAAATATTGACCACTTAAAATATAATTTTTAAATCGTTCATTTTTAGTCGGAGTATCTTAAAACTTTATAAAAAAAAAACACGTGCCTTTTACATTACATTATCGCACAAGTACGTAATGAGATACATTACGATATTGGTGTAATTACAACCACTTTACGAGCAAATATATTATAAATGACAATTATAATCTTTTGGGAAATTCATTCCGGTGAATTGGGGCACTCCGGAGATTTTCCCTGAGCTAGCTCCGATTCTTGACCTGATTTTCATAGAAATCATTAGAAATGTTATCAAGGATTTCTCTCTAAGCCTGAATTATGTATCTTGTTAATTGGTGCTTGTGTTACTTATAATTAAGAGAGGTTATTGGCGTAGGTGTCTGATACTAAGAAACCATATTTTGTTGATTATTAAGGCTTTTACACCAGGTTTGATTTTTCTTATGATAGATTTTCTTATGACCACTTGATAGTAGGTAAAATACCCCAAACATAACATCTAAACAACATGCGCTGCCGGCCTATTTTGGCTTTGGATATTCGGAAATCCACAGACTGCAACCGAAACACGATTAAACTTGATGGCTTTTTCATTTGTATGACCCATTTAATATAGATTTCCAGAGGAAGTCCGGCATGTTTCAGATAAATTACGGTTGCTTGGATGAGATAGCTATTCAGCTATAAAGTCGCTGTTTGTCCTTAATTTCTATAATTTTTTATTCATTTAGTACTTGTGACAAGTAAAGAATATTTGTATTAGTAAAAATAATAAATTGATTAGATACATACTGTCTATAGTTTACGCGAGTAGTACACATTTAAATAAAACACGTTAACGGTTTAAAACGCGATATATTAGTTAAACTGATTTGAAAATGATGTCTCCCCGTGACCACGGCTGCTGCAAAGCATCCGAAACGTCGGGCCGAAGTTTAAAACCATTTTCAAATAAGTTTAACTAATATATCGCGTTTTAAACCGTTAAAGTGTTTTATTTAAATTGATTAGATACATGTTGGACCTGGTGGAAACCGAACCTACGACTCCGTTTATTTCTAGCCACACATTGCTACCATTATGCCAACGAGCCCGTCTAACTCGTAAAAATGATTCGTGTTAGAACCACGCCTCTAGTTTCATGACGTAACAATTT